AAAAGTAATTGAGACCTCATAACACAAAATAAATAGTCTCTTTGCATACTTTTCTATTTTTTTTTTTTAAAAGCGACATCTTTAAAAAAAAAGAACTCAATTTAAATTCTGCCTTTCAAAAATAAATTTATTTTTTTTAATAGTGACTCTTTTAAGTACTTCTCAAGATCTCCAAGTGATGAGAGAATGAGTTGATATAAAACATATGCTCCCACATAAGCAAAATATACACACTTCACTACTGAAATTTAGAACTTCGGCTGAAACGTGTTTTTCTCTTTTTTTTGGTTCTTAACGAAGAAAAATGAATTCTATGGGGATACAAAACCAATTAAAATTCAAATGAAATTTTTGAGATTCAATAAGGTACTAGAACTACTGCCCCTTTGTAGACATCGGATAAAACTGTTAGGTACTAGTACTACTAAATAACTAAAAGAAATCTTTACATGCTTCAGTTCCAATGTCACAAGCTAATCTCTAAACATCTCATTTTAATCAATCTGCTTGAAATATTTTTATTTTAATTCTTATTTTATTATAAAATTTGGCTCATGGTCACAAAAAGCACCTAAAAAACAAAGAGAAAACATTTATTTTTTATTAAAAAATAAATGTTTTGATCATTTTATTATAATAAATACTTTTCTAATTTTTTTAAAAAATATTTATGAACGGGCAATATTGGAGAGGGAGAGGGAGTCGATTTCAAAATCGATACATATTTGTTAGGCGGCACCGTCCCTCTCCCGACTTTCGTTTTTTTTCTTAAATTACTTTATCCGATAAACCGAACACCGAACGAATAGATTTTTTTGAATTTAAACAAAAAAACGTTGTCTGGCGGTGTTCGAATCACCAGACAGCTCTTTTTAAGTTTTGTAAATTTAGAAAGAGAGGCGGAAAATGAAAGAGAAAGAGTGCAGTCTTTGCTTCCTCAACAATAGCGACAAGGAGTGGCAGGGGCGAAAGGGGGAGAGGAGAAGCCTCACAGCAGGGTAAAGGAGTGTGGATCAGTGGCAGCATCGGGTTCATTGCGAGGTCCTTCTTCGTCCGCATCCTCTAGGGGCTCTTTGCCATCGTCCACCACGGGGCATGAGCATATGAGAAAGCAGCGGTGGAAAAAACAACTACGCTGCAACTCCCCGTAGTCATCAAAAGTCATAGACCAAAGATACAAGCTCGTGGCCATTGTAAGTTTCGGGCATCTGCCCTTTTTCCTCTTCGGTAAATCCAGTATCGGTTCCATGTAATTTCCCCGTCAAACAAACAACATTCTTTTGCATCTCAGAAAGCACTCTGCATCTTCCTTTTAATCTCTACATCGATCGATAGATTGGTCTTGACTTTTCTAGTTAAAAAAATCAGAGAGACCGAAAACACTGCATCTTCCTCTTAATCTCTACATCTCTCTTAACTTGTTCTTCAGAGAGAAAATAAAGTATGCACTCTCTCTCTCAACTCTCTAAACTCTCCTCTATGGGCGTGACCGGCTTTGGCTTCAGCTTCATGGGGGCTTTTTTCGTTTAAAAAGAGCTATACAGTAATTCAAACACAAGACAGCTTCTCTTCGTTTAAACGTAAAATACCCATCAGTCCAATATTCGGTTTACCGGACATAAAATAACTTAATGGAAAAAAAAAGTCGAGAGAAAACAGATTGGCCATACATAAATTTCTCTTTTTTAAAATACAGCCTCCAAAGAGTTCACACTCCGCAAATTCTGTGACGATGATATATATATATATATATATATATAAGCTTTGATATTGTAACTGATTAAACGACTGAGAACGACAGTTACATATGCATTATAAGACGCTGCAGGACAATATCGAAAGGACTTCGGATTAGCATCTAGCATTTCTTGAAGAGAATGGGATATTTCCAATGAACATAAGATGAAAATATGCCTATTTGTTGTGTTTGTGTAGGACTAGCAATGGGTCAGTCTTGCTTTGCCTCTAGCTCGGGCCTCGTCTCTGTGAGGCCAGCCCAGCCATGATCGGGGCAAAGAGGCCCTGGCCTAGACCCTATCAGGGTAGGGCCTTGCCAAGCTAGATAAGAAAAAACAAATAAATCAAAGAAAAAAAAAAGGGACAGAAAAAAAAGGAAAATGGCCAGGCCAAGCTGCCCCTATCATGGCCTGGCCCTCAAGCATATTGTTGTGGCCCAGACCCTAGGCTAGGGGCTCATTGGGCCGAGCCACCAGGCCCATTGCCACCCTTATGTTTGCGTTGGTTTACAAAATTGCCAAACCGACTCAAAACTAAGTCGTGACAAGTCCGAATCCCTCCTTAAATCAGATGTGAACTAATTGATTGTTCATTCCAAAGCAAATTACATATAAACACCAAATAGAAAGGCTATTTTTTGTACAATAACCAAAAACTATCAAATATTCGTATTATCGAACAGCTCGTTTCTTTTATGTTTTTTAATTATCTGCTGTCCAGTGTTTCGAAATGCCGGACAGCTCTCTAAAATCCCCAAAACCCAATCAATTATTTCCGATCATGTATGGATTGATAGATCTGTTTGTCTATATTGATTGTTTTTCATGGAGTAATGAAAATGTGCAAAAGCTCTATTAGCTCGCTCCTCTCGCCACGAAGCAGCCATCCAACGCCACAACCGCGCATATTTGGCTCGTAAATCGGATAATTACATTTTACCCTTTCAAGCTCAAGGTGATCTAATTCATGTCGATAATTTGCAACGTTATGAACTGGGTTATGACTTCGGATGACTACTCCGTGAAAAGAGACGGCTTGACAGTTGCAAAGTGATAGATGAAAGAACGAGAGCAGAGAAATGACGGGAAGTAAGGAGTTGCTGAATTTTTTGGATCCCAAAGAGTTGCTCAGTATTTCGAACAGCATACAACAAAAAACTAGAAAACTTAAATGATGCGAGATGTTTGATAATACGAACACCGAACAGCTCTTGGAGATTGTGCAAATAAAAACCCTCATATCCGATGTTTTCATTGCGGTAGAGGAGAGTGACTTAAGGGAAAAAAAAAAAACTGTAGAAAGAGAAAGGTACTTATAATATATGGAAAAAATATGACAATGCGGTAATAAAGGCCCCAAATAGTATCCTTATGTAATTTGCTTTTCACTCTAACACTATTATCTTTTTTCTTTTTTGTCTTTTCTATATTTTTATTTGAAAATATCATCTTTGAACACATTTTAGATCCAACTTTTTACAAATCAATCCTTTTGTACCCCTTTTCCATATCCATAAGCAATGTTTTCATATGAAAACCACATTAAAGTGAAGTTTTATGTCGAAGGGAAAATGATATACTGATCTTATTTAGGTCCTTAGGTCGATTTTTCATGTAAATTACGTCCCCCCTAGACGGGCCTTTTTTCGTCCCGTAATTGCCCCCCTGCCCAACAGTATAGGATATGCTAAGCACAAATCATATGCAAAAGATTTCTTACTCCCACATGAGTATATTATTCATTTATTCCCTTCAGCAAAATACATGCTAAGGTGAGATCTAAAAATTTGGGGTTAAATTTTTCTTTGATTTCTAATATTTTATTTATTTTTACTTTATTTCTTATTTTTATGCAAAGAGTCAGCACATTTTGAACTTTAGAAATTGAGGAAATTTTTGTTTCTTATTTTATTATAAACTATTAGATTTTTTAAGGACTTATTTACTCTATGATCAATGCTTTAGTTTCGTCATTAAGTAATATTTTTATGTGTTATCATTAGTTTCCTTTCTTCATTGATTAATTATTTTCTTAATGGTGATTGGAATGACAATGGTTGGGATGCTTTTGAACTATCCAACCATTCCTTTTAGTATTGGACTGACCTATTCATTTGTATTATTAATATTCAATTAATCTTATAGACGTTGATTTATTAAATTTGTTACTGCGAAATTACTGTAGTATTTATACAAGAACACGTCACTCAATATTTAATACTCTTTCACAACTTCATTAAAATACATAATATATCCTCAAATTTTTATCACATCACACTTTTTTTTAAAATTCTTTTATTACTTTTACCAAACTTTTAATGGCCTGATACCACGGGTTTAGCCAATTCAATTCACCGAGCTAAACCGGATAATTCAATTCATCGAGCTAAACCGGAACCGGTGGATGACCAGTTTATCCCACCAGTCCACTTTTTAAAACATTGATCGCATCAATGTTTTAAAAAATGGACCGGTGGGGTGAACCTGTCACCCACCGCTCCCAGATCATCTCAGTGAACAAAACCAGTTCATCCATGTACTTCACAATTTAAAAAGTTCTAAAATAACAAAAAAGAAATTAAAAATCAAAACATGTATGCCTGTGAAAAAAATTGATGATTATGTCACATATTTCTGAGTTTAGTGAAAGTGCATAAATATTGAGAGTCATGTTCCTATTTAACTCCCACACATTCATTTCAGAATAAGAACTGTAGCAAATCACAAGGGTAACATCCATAACATCAATAAATGTATATAATATCTGTATATGCATCAAAACATATAATCTAATGCCATAACATCAATAAATGTATATAATATATATAATCAAAACATATAATCTAATGCCAAAATATCATAGTTATCCTGACGACCGTCATTCACACCACCACTAGACATTGGAAATTCGTGTATTTTTGTATAGTATTGTGTATATTTATTAATATCATTTATTTTTTGACAAATGCACAATTTTATGATCGATAAACAAGTGGAAATACACAATATAAACACTTAACTAAGAGATTAACTATACAATATAAAGTTATAAACAATGTGTAAGTGTTAATTAACCAAAGAAATATACATGAATGTCAAAAATCAACAAATAAACTTTTAAATCATTCCTAACATTGTCCAAAACAAAAACCGGAACAAGATTTAAGGGTGCGGTTTCAAAATCGAGCCTACCTTTTTCATGATATGTGGTTTCAATACTGGATATCTTTTTGATAGCCTTAAA